GTTACCATCCCAGAAATAGGCACAATGACAAGCTTTGTGTTTCTACTTAAGGGAATGTCAATAAACACAGAGCTTCCTGGTTTCTGAGCCAATTTTGCATCAAAAGCTTCATAGCTTCTTGTGAGGAGAATGCAGGCTCTGGGCCCAGTATCATTGGAAACTATCTGTGCTTCTTCCTTTCTTGCCTTACAGAATGTCTGTCACTTATATTGCCTCAAAGGGTGGTTTTGAGACTTTAATAAGGCCTGTTAATTAACAGAAACCAAGCTTCTTCTGTGTTTAAATTTATAAAATACATTCCCCTTTCCATTCTTTAAACTGTGCTGCTTGGAAGAAAAGATTAGACTGTTTTTTTCCCTATTGTCTTTCCCTGAGTGGGGTGTCTGAGTGTACACAGTTTGGAAGAACAAAGAAATACAGAAAAGGGGGGAAACTTACATTAGCTATATCAGTTATGACATATAATGTTAATGAACTACACACCTGTTCATCTTTACTTAGAATTAGTTCTTAACACATATGTACTACTTCTATCTCCACGCCCAAAAGTTTTAATGACTCTATTTCAATTTTTGCAAGTAAGGTTTACAAACTCTAGGTGCTAACTTAATGCTTGAGGTCAGTAGATTATTCAATGAATATTTAGATTGACCAAGTATTATGATTTATCCCTAGAATGCAAGGATATTTTTTTAATATTGAAAAATATATTATGCATCATATAACTAGGTCATATTAAGAAATCTAGATATAAATTGATCATATAGCAATTATATCTTTAAAACCATGTCAGTAAAAATTAATTAACAGATGTAATGGAAAAATTATTTCCATTATGGTTAACAATAAAAACCATGAAGCTAGGAATAACCATAAAATGATATATGAGACTTATCATCAAATGTAAAACTTTATACACAGACACATATACACACCGACACACAGGCACGCACACACAAACAGATCTGAATAGAAAAAAATAATATGTTCTAATACTGGAATTCAGAGTGAACATTAATTCATTCCAAATTAATTTACAAATATAGTATACTAGTGGCCCAGTGCACAAAATTCATGCCCATTAAAAGGGGATTAATTAGAGGAAATATTTTAATATTGCTATTTGCCCTTTCTCTATAATAGAAGTGTCAGAGATGAAAGAAAATTAGTAAAATGATTATGAAAATATTCCTCCTGTCAGAGTCTGGGGCGTGCCGTGGGACTCAGAGTCAAGTCCCCGCCCACCTGCAGCACCTCAAAATCACATGAGACCCAGACTCAACTGACCCCACCCCCATTAGGCGAGATACAGACCTGGTGGGCCCCACCCTTGTTGAGCCCCACTGAATGAGGGGTGCAGCCTCAGGTACCCTGGCCTGGTGCTGGGCAGGGGGTGCAGCCTTAGGTCCCCTGGTGCATGCCAGGCAGGGAGCACAGCCTCAGGTGCCCCAGCACATCCTCAGGTCCCCCGGCCTGGTGCCTGGGTGAGGGGCATGACCTGAAGTTCCTAGGCCCGGTGCCAGGGCGGGTGGCACAGCCTGAGTTCCCCCATCAAGCCCTACCAAGCAGGGAGTGCACCTTGAGGCCCCCGTCAAGCCCCGCCAGGCGGGGACACAGCCTGAGATCCCCCATAAAGCCCCGCTGGGAGGGGGGGTGCGGTCTGAGATCCCCTGTCAAGCCCCTCCGGGCAGGGGGCACAGCCTCAGGTCCCCCAGCACTGGGGTGGGGGAGCGCAGCCCAAGGTCCCCTGGCCCACTGCCAGGGTGGGGGGCACGGCCTGAGGTTCCCCATCAAGTCCCAACCAGGTGGGGGTCATGGCCTGAAGTCCCCTGTCAAGCCCCACTAGGCGGGAGACCCAACCTCAGGTCCCCTGTCCCAGCACAGAGCCACGCAGCCTCTGGTCCCTGCTGATTGCTCGTTAAGGCTCGTTACAAGAACTTGGCCTCTGCTGTTGGTGCAGCCATCTTTGCGGTGGTGTGACAGTCAATTTGCATATTTCCTTTTTTATTAGATAGGATTTCCCATATAATTCTAATGGGACTTTTTTTCAGAGAGTAAGGAAGAACTTGATAACTCTAAAGTTTTTCCTTAAAATAAATACACAAGCCCTAACTGGTTTGGCTCAGTGGATACAGCGTCGGCCTGCAGACTGAAAGGTCCGAGGTTCAATTCCAGCCAAGGGCACATGCCCAAGTTGCGGGCTCAATCCCCAGTGGGGGGCGTGCAAGAGGCAGCCGAACAATGATTCTCTCTCTCATCATGTTTCTATCTCTCTCTCTTTCTTCCCCTTCCTCTCTGAAATCAATAAAGATATATAAAACTAAATAAATAAATAAACAAATAAATAAATACATAAGCTGAAAATGCTTTGGGGGGGAAAAGACCAGGTGATGAAGCAAATTATCAGATATTAAAATATATTTTAAAACAATGATAATTGAAACAGAGTAGAGCTAGTACAAGAAGAGACACATATAAGTGGACCAGAAGGGAAATCAGAAATACAGGCATTTATATGATAAATATGACATTACAATTCAGAGAGGAAAATAAATTTTTTTCTGTATCATATCATAGAATAGCTGATTAAAGAGTTAAACATTTTTCTTAAACCATTAAAAATAGAAAAATAGGTAATTATTTTAGCTATAGATGGAAAAGGACCTTCCACCAATGAAAGAAAATGGAAAATTATCAATAAATTTCTATATAATTAAAACCTTTTCTGCTCTAACCAAAGCAAAGTCTAAAAAAAAAATAAATGAGATTTTCAACAATTCTGGGAAAGGGTTAAGGTAACTAACATAGAGAATGTTTAAATCAGTATTAGAAAACCTCAAATCTGTAAAAATAAATTTATAGGTCCAATATCTTTGACTCGGCCTTGATTAAATTTCAAGTTAAAACCAGTCTCCAAAGCTTTTGACTTTTGCTCATTTTCCTAGAGAATGACAAACTATTGACCCAAGTGATTTTGAGAACAAAAAGTACTGGATTAACCATTAGCCTCTTTTAATAGATAAGAAGAGTTAGTGAATGTTTGCATATCAGTTACTATACAATCTAAATTAAATCTCTTCTTATTTTGTGTCTTGTCACAATGAAATTAATTCTCTGGCCATTGGTTTACCAAAAAGGACAGTTTTCCTATAATAGCAAAACACCGTAATAGTTCTTTATTGAAACCTTGAAACTGTGAATATTATAGCATACCACCTTTGTTAGAATGTTTGTTTCAGAAAATACCATGTTTGATCAAAGGTGAAATGGTTTATCATAGGAAGCAAATTTAAATCATCAACCTTATGATATCCATGACTATGACCTTTGTAATGGACCACTACTTGACTCAACAAGTATAAAGCACACATTTATTTTTTAACAAAAAGAATCTCTAATGTAATTTTTTTTAAAAAATAAGTACAAAAAATAAGAGTTTAACCAATTAATTTTTAAATACAATTCAGAATCACTATTTTTGTAGATGATACCCTAATAGAAAAATGAGTAAGTAACCTACGTGAGCAATTTATAGACAAATAAACATATATGAGAAAAAATATTTAGTCTTGTTAAACAGAATTGAGAAAAAATTTTACATAGTAAGTGTAAGGTGGCTCAGGAGGTGGCATAAGAAACAAAGAGAATTGAGCTGGTCAGGGAGGAGAAAGTTTAATCTGCGTCCCCGGGGAAACCCATGAGTCCCA